AATATAACAGCCGTCAGAAGTCATGTAGAATTGTAGTAATTATGCATAATTCAGCATTAAATTATTCGAGACACATTTATAATGGAGCAAAAATGTAATTTTATGGTGATATAAAATCTGTACCACCGACCACATATTATGTTTTCAACAGAAATGAAACAATAAAAGTACATATATCAAATATAATATTAACGTAATAGCGGTTTAATACATTTAAACAGGCTGAGATACGCGGTTTCGCTCGGGTTATAGATTATTAATATTGTTCAACATTATATAATCTATACAATCTCTTTTTAAAGAACTGAGCTTCATAATTTATAAAAGATCGGATTGTTAGCTCTTAGGTTCTGTAACTAGCATTAATAATAAAAAACTGATTATGCAATAACACTTTAGGCTTAACTATCCATTTAGAAAAGCCAATATTTGATATCGTTCCAAAACAAAACTTTTGTTTACATTGTGAACAAAATATTCGAATATCGAATAAATAAATATTCGAATAAGAATGTAGGTACTATTACGACATTCACATTAGTACAGATCTGGTATTGCTCAAGACAGTGCAATAATGTAGGCCAAACATCTCGATGGTACATCTTCTTGAGCACAAGGTGACGTCCGTGCGATAGCTTGTCATTATAAAAGCTAATGATGGAACCACATAACATACTGCAAAATAATCTATGAAAGTCTTAATAGACCATTAACATTTCTTTGATCAAAGCTATTTAATACCCTGGTATTGGCAGTAATAAAACTCTGTGTCTTTTTTAGTTCCATGTAATGTTTTAATAGTAAACGTTTAAAAAAAGTACGTGCTTTTTTTCATAAATACACTGCTAGTTTCGTATAGTGTATACCTACCAAAGGTCTGTAAAAATAAAAGTTCTGAAGTATTGACTATTAATTTATGGTAAAAACTAGTTTTCACTGCAAGTTGTTGGTAGTTACCAGCATTTAAAACTATTTCTTAGCTATGTATATATATTAAATTTAATTTAATTATATTATAGAACACTGTCCGAATTCCAAGAGCTTTCTATATAAATTCAATATTGTGGTAATGCTAAATATTTGTATCGGTCATACTTGACATAAGCATTTAAAAACTTTACGTTTACACAAAAACAATGAAGACGATAATACTTAAAAAAGCAGAAGCAGTCTAAATCTTTGGAACCCTTGGCAAAGTTTTAACATCGTTAGACACCATGTTTTTTTATGACATAATGGGCAAACGAGCAGACGGGTCACCTGATGGTTTAATGTCTACTGCAGCCCTTGAGTTCCACTTCCCAAATAAGAAGGTAACCTCGCTCACTCTTTGTAAAGCAAAGAAAAAATTGTCAACTCCGTTTTTCTGCGAGGCCGTGTATCACTATATCCGTGTATGTATGTCGAACCGATATGTTTTGACGAATATGATAAATCTAAAAATATTTACGTCTCTGAAAACTATTTACTCTCTCTATTTTATAGTTTTGTGAAGGTTCTCAAAATGACACAATAAGTCATTTTAAATGTAAGCTGGATGTCTCAAAGTTGAGTTAACACATGAGTTCGTATGAACAACATATCCACTGGTTTGTTGAAACATTATTTTGTCGTTTAATGTTTTTTGTTTCACATACAATCTAGGTTTATGTATATGACAGAAATACAAATAGGCTGAGTTACACTGAATTTGCAGCGCTTTGTAAATTTGAAACTGTGTTTTCCTTCTATCATATACGAGTAGCTGTAAGCGTGATACAAACGGCATCAGAAGATTCTTGTGTAAGTTTTTTTTTGATAAACGAAAACGTTATTGTGCATAAAATTACATGATGAAACTAAAAATATTTTTGACTTACATGAAACTTTATTAGTTTAGGGATAGACTTCTATCAAGTAAATTAATAAGTCGAATAACTATAAGCAATCTATTTTATAAAAGTCTTTAACTCTTTGTCGGATTGAACGGATAGGAGAAATCTTTCTACTCGTTACATGCGTTAAAAAAAATGTAAGCATTAAGTTGTGCTCTACTACCTGTGAGAAACCATGGCGAGTTGTTAGTCCATTATATTATGTAAAACAATCAAATCAAATATGATTGTGTTACAATGTAGACGTTAAGAATAAAAACTGAATTGAGGTACGACTCTACTTAATATCTTCAGTATAAGTTTGCAATATATGAACCACACGGGAGGTCACGTAACAAATAATATGTTGAAATCGTAATACTAACTAGAAAACATTAGTCTTGTTGTAAAGTGGCAACGGCTCTACCTCTACCTAGTCATATTTAAATGAACCTTAACTATTAGCATGTACTTTGCTGAACTCTATAAACTCGGTCTTTAAATAAATTTTGAAAATAATATTTTAAAAGCATACTAGGGCTAGCTAGCTTACATACATTTTAATGAGATATATATTCACAACAATATATTTACTAGAAATGTCATCACAAAGTTGTTTAAATTAAAATATGAATGAAATACAAGTATTTATACTATCGTACCCGTGTTGTCAAAAAAATAATACACTCTACGAGTACAAGGGATTTTTGCAATTATTGTGATGTTTTGATGATGCAGTCTCTATGTATTCTTTGTATGAGTTAAAACAACGAAAATTACTTAGGAGTATGTGTATTAAAATATCTAGCCACCAGCATTGAAAGGTTTTTTCTTTTATTCAGGCCTGTAGCATAAAAGACATCATAGGCCGTGATCCACTGGCTTTACTTTTACTATTATGTTTTTATTACATTTTCGCTTGTTCTAGATACATAAATAGATTACACGTGTACTTGCACTTCACGATTTAATATGTACATTTTCTGGTCTAAGGCCACGTTTTATGGGATATTACTACTGAATATGTAATTGGGTTAACTGTTTATTACATGTAGTACTTCAATGAATTTAAAGATTTAAGCACATACCCGTGTTCGAATCAAATCGAACACGTGAAATCAACAAAGCGACACATAAAAGTGATATTCTGAAATCAATACATAGCTTTAACCATAGACTTAGAAGCAGGTACCCTGCGAGTGGCATTTATTTTTATACCATGTAGTAACAAGCTTGTATTTACAGAAAATATGAATATTCTGATTAGGAGAAGTAATGTAACTATTACGTTATACTATTATTAATTTGAATCTCTTAGACAGTTAGACTTATCACTGCAAGGACTGGATTAGGTACCTAATGTTTGCATGAACTAAATTGTCTTAAACACCTTATTACAAATAGTAAATTAAAAGATTTTCGGTTTTTTTTAAGAATTTACGTTCTAAACGGTGAATAATTTAGCATTAAGTAATAAAGCAGAGACTACTATTGGAGGATAAGGTATTACTAACTCAAGAAATATAGCATCCGAGCGAGCCTTTTTATAAACTGGGTTTGGGTTGGCTTTCAGTCTAACGCAATACCGTTGAACTTCGATCTTTTATGTGAAGCGGCTGCCATCAGACCTGCACAATCCAAGTACTAAGCGCTGTCGAAGTTCTGTGGATAGACTATTGTCGGACTCTTAAGGGCTCCAATTACCCGTAATGTTTGCTACAGATATTCGTATGGCAACCGAGACCGACGGCTTCACGTGCTGTGAATATGCAATGTGTTAATAATGGTCACCCATCCAGGCTAGGAATGTGCTAACTTCTCAGCTATCACTTAGCCATGAGCCCCTCAAGAAATATATCCTATGTAAAATTTGAATTAAAACTATAATGTAATAATGTACCTCAAACATCTCACACATGGCCGCCTAATCCCAAACTAGGCAGAGCCTGTGCTATAGTGACCAGACTGCTGATAAACATACTAATATATTTTTAAATACATACATATTATAGATAAATTACAAACAGATACAGAAGAAATGATCATGCTCATCACACAATATTTGTTCTGGGTGGGAATCGAAACCACCACCTCCGGCTTAGCAGTCACGAGCACTAACCACCAGACCAACAGGCCCGTCAACTGGGAACCTACATAGGCAGTCTATGGTTAATTAAATATTGCTGTTATGTAGATTTTGAGTAATATGTAAACTGTTCGGTAATAAATTATTCTCCGTATAAAAATTCTCACGCATAGGTACGAAGTCGCATTTTTATTTGTTCTACAAAAAGGTAACTGACATTGTACAAAGATAGCTATCAATTATTATTCTACTTCTGTCAATTTACCATGACCGTATAGGGTTACCAAGATTCAAAACGAGATGTAAAATTACTTTTGAAAAAATCACATTTTAAACGCCTACATACTTAGACGAGCACGTGTTCGCGATAACTTTGAAGTAGTAACTCTTTCAAATAAATTTTACTTTTTTTATTCAAGTGAGATTGCGATAAGCACAGCGGTACACAACAATTAAATACATAATATAAATATAATACTATTAAATAAGTTATTTCAGCAAATAGTACGTAATATGTAAGTGTATGCAAAACGATATAAATTAAAATAAACATTCAAACTAAGTTTTATAAAAAAGTAGTTTCATTTATTAACCCAGATTACTAATAAGTATATGTTATAACATATTTTGGAATAAACTCTTTTTAATATCAAGATTAAAGATTTGAAATAGGAATATATGTCAATTTTTTTTTATCAGGTTTTGGAGGGAATTTTACACTGTTAAGCAGTTAAGTAGATAATTGAAATTAATATTTTGTGATTTGTATTATCCGTCTGATGACGGATTAATAATACGGAGTATCACCACTCTTATTCATCCCGTGGGTGTCGTAAGAGCCGACTAAGGGAGTAAACTACGCAGGACAACTGCTCTGCAAAAAGAAGGAAACCTTGTCACAAGCCCTATACCAACCCGTCTGGCCAGCGTGTTTTAGTAGGCCAAATCCTCCTTTCTAAGGAGAGGCCGATGTCCAACGGTGGACTGTCCAAGGCTGTTGATGATGATATATTTCAACTAAAATAATAATCATTATTTGTTACAGGTTCTATATTGTTAACATGGCCGCGCAACTAAGCGTGGGTCGTCGAGTATGTTACGAATTGGTGTTGTACATGTTGCTGGTATTGATCACACGAAGCTTCTGCAATACAGGTAACTATGTTTAAAAACAAAATAACTACTTCTTCGTTCTTCGTCTTAAGTACATACGTTGTTTATGTTGTGTGTTTTCTTGAACTCTCATTTATTTGTTGTATTTAATAGTGCAGTTAATACATTAAACGTAACGTGCAATGCGCCAGAGCAACATAGGCCACCGACGGACCGAATTGGAGTAGCCATAGCTACTTTTCGCGATACAAAATAGTCTTTTGCGGGGTGGGAGGGGGGCAGGGAATCTTTATCGGACTCCCATATAAAAACAATTGGCTGTCACTACAGAAATCACATATAACAATTAAAACAACACGTTTACAATTTCACACACACACACACACACATATACATATTCTGTATCACATTACATTGATAAACAACCGTGGCTGTAACAACTATCAATACGCAATATCGATAAATTCGAGAAGTCGTTTAGGGAAATCAGGTTTAAAAAGTGATACAAGGGGATATTAATAAAATAGGACTTTATTTATTACTACAGCAATCATCTTTGATATTACCAATAGTTTAATCTATCACTGGTTTTTAACTGGATTAATTTTGTATAAATATGTCGAATACATTTTTGTGAGTTAGCTTTTTTTATTAAAAATTTGATATCCTTCTATTGTTCGCCAACACTTAAAAGTCAAAGGTCTTGAAATGATCTGAGCAAATGATACTCTTTCTTGTAGGTATCCAGGTAAGGTGTAAGTTTTTATAAAAGTTCTTTGATATAGCAATTTACCTCGGCTCTTTAGGAAATCTGCAATAAATAAATAAGAACAATGTGGTTGTAGTTCACACTTATTTATTTATTTTATTGGGCGCAATTTTAATATTAAAGTATATTAAAATAAAGCTCACAATCCACATAGTTTTATTAATTATATCAGAAAACATAACTTCTAAAATGATAATATGCACGAGAGACATGCATACAAATGTATTTTCGTAAATTTTAAATTTAAAAAATGAGTCAATGGTAATAATTTGATTATAAATTACTTACATACGAGTATGAAAGGTAACGCCATTTTTTGCAAACTTGACGTTGCAAATCTCTTTTTGAAGCAAAAAACTCAACTACTGGATTGAACTGAACTGGCGGCTACTGTCATCTACTAGATTTAGTCTAGTGAGCCGTCCGGCCGTAACTAGTTTTATTGTATGCATATGACCGTGTGGACTTATACTTTGGCAGAGGGGAAAGCCTGCGTATGGCTACTCCCTACCGTTTTACTCTATGTGCAATACAAATTATATTTTAAACTTAATAAAATGAGTGAGAAATGCGACGGACAGTCCTCTGTGCAGGGGATGTCTGGAAGCAGAAGAACACGTAGTCCTGGAATACGAGGGAGTGGCCACACAACGGGCAAGTATCATTCCTGATACAAAATCGCTCCTAGAAGCCTGTGAACGCCCCAAGAGGCTTCTGCGCTTCTGGAAGGAGCTTGGTTAGCCAGGTGAGCCATCGCCTAGCTAACCAGTCCTCGACGCATAAAGGAACACTCTTGAGTCGAAATGCGGAAACCGAAGCCCACAACCAATACCAATACCAATTTGCCGAAGTGAATACGTCGGCGATATTTTCTTAGAAAGTTAATTTATTTTTGCAAAACCTTTTCAGCTTATTTAAGTAAACTGACATTTCTAACAAGATTTATCTTTGCTTTAACTATAGGTATAACACATTTCAGTTAAAAAACGATCATAAATTACTATTTTCTGACAATGATGATTTTATTATATCCGGTAGAAAAAATACGAAAAGGAGCTAGAAATAGCTCGCTTGTCAAAAACTGCTCATATTGGCAAACTTTTTGAATAGTATAATAGTCACTTGCATCTCTATCTATAAAAATGTTTTTAAACAAATAAGAATAGTATAATAATATTTATTTCAAAATACTTAAATTGTACAATTTGTTAAGTATTAAATAAATTTGCATGTTGTAACTAACTTTCCAGAGGTAGTATTTTTTCCTCCCTCCCAAATCGTATACCTAACAAGTGTGCAAAATTCTATATTTACGTTATATTTTCTCTCTTTGTACTTGGTTTTTTACATGAACCAGGCGTACAATTAAACTTCAATAAATTCTTACCTTTCTCTGTTTGGGTTATAAAGATACAGCCTACCACTTATATCCTTCTATACCTCACAAGCTGAAGCTATTGTAATTAAACCTTTCATAAGGGTCTAGAATTCTAATATAATACATCGAAATCGCTAGACAGTTACAAATAGACAACAACACATGAGCTTGGATCAGATTGCAATACCACTGCGCTACCTATGTATGTGTTGTGTACCAACTTTTGGTTAGAAAGATTTGTGAAAACTTAACCAGTTGTATTGTATTAGTATACTTTGTTTAGATGAACTTTATTCTAAAGAGTTTATTAACTTGAAGAAACAGAATGCTTACAGAAATTTATACTTTACTAGCTGACCCGCGCAACTCCGTCTGCGTCTCTCAATAGTAATAAATTTTCTCCGTTTTCGAAACATTCTTCATTGGTGCTCCGCTCCTATTGGTCTTAGCGTGATGATATATAGCCTATAGCCTTCCTCGATAAATGGGCTATCTAACACTGAAAGATTTTTTCAAATCGGACCAGTAGTTCCTGAGATTAGCGCGTTCAAACAAACAAACAAACTCTTCAGCTTTATAATATTAGTATAGATTTACCATGTACTAGGTAGAAACGTATAAAAAAAGGATAATTACACCGCCTATAGCAGTTCAGTTTCATAGAATAGTTTTAATGAATAAAGGTGGCATCATAATACATTTCAAGACATACACAGTAAAGAGTAACAATTATGCAGGATAATAAAGCGACATAGTAATTTAATGTACACCTTTAATGCCTTCAGGGCAATTTTATTCACACACACCCTTGGAGACAAACGAGACACGAATCATGACACTCGATATTGTGATGTGACAATTACAAATTATAGTTATTGTCATCATCATTATCATCATGTGTACCTCATATAATTATATACATTTGTCTATCACATAAACTGAACTGCAAATTGCAATATTCCACCTCTAATTTAAATTATGTCTTTGTACTATCTATCTTCTACTTTTAACCCATGTGAGAAAAACAATGAGCAAATAGTACCTTTAATCTGAATTTCATTCAGGCATTTAGTTCAGTATTGCACTAGTACTTATACGTTGCTTAGGTAAACGCCACCTATTACGCAAATGATAATATTATTGCCGGTCAGACTTTAAGCGGATGTGTATTGCAGACATCCATACAAACATGCACAATCAGTTACACAATTAATATCATCTGCCCTATGAGTGCAAAGAAACTTAGTTCTTTGCGTTCACATTTTAGGGTTTTGATTACTTTACACCCACATATCCGGTGTGATAGGAGTTTGTCTATACAACAAGGATGTGGTCTTGTTGCCATCTGTTTTTTATTGTCACCAAGTACATCACGCGTGTGGTTCAGTCACGAATTATAATTATGAACAGCAGGTATATCGCATTTTTTAATGTGCAATGAACTTAAACAGGACCTAGAAATAAATTATGTAGTTGTAAGATTCTAATATCAATGAGAAAAGCATCATTATATAGGTATTCTATTTTTGTCTTACTATAAGAAGAAGGTTCTCATATTTGTGAGAGATTTGAGGAAGAAAATATAGGAGCAAAAAGCCATAGCCAAATCATAGCAAAACAATCTTTGATTTGCTATAATTTGGCTATGGCTTTTTGAGATGAAAGCTCACGACGTCTTAATGATTCACTTTTAATGATAATAATGACATTGTAAAATATACATAAAACTAACTAGCATCGTCAACCAAATAGATTACGAACAATTGAAGATTCAAATGCAAGTGTAAATACATAAAAATCACTAGTATAAATAATTAATAATTAAGACACATTAAATAGGGTTGTAGTTTTATTGAACAGAATTGTAAATGTTTTCATGTATGGGAAACATATTATGAGACGAACCCTCCTAGACTAGGACAAGAGTGATAGTAGTGATTAGTGTAAAACGTGTTTCAAATACTTAATGCGTCGGTGACACTGTAGGTTTGAGAGGGCCTACAAATTATAATATGCTTCTAATAACTTCAAATAGCAGCTTAGATCAGCAAAAAGTAATAGATGAGTACATAAGTAGCGTCGAAGATGAAATTCCACATGACAACCACAATTTGTATCAAAGTGAATCATTTCATAATGATATCTTAGACGTGAAATGATTGTAGTGACGTGACGCTGAGATCTTGACATTTGAGCCGCCAGCGTACCATAGCAGTCACGACACCTGACAACATTTCCCCTCGGTTATGACTGCACTTCCGCTTCCTTCAGGTCAAGGTTAAATAGATTTACCTATACTACAATTAAGCATTTAACGTTTTTTTTATTGTGTCATAAAATTTACTTCGCTTTGTACAACTCGGTAAACAATTTCAAATACAAGTCTATTTTTTGTTAAGTTTTCAAATCCTTCCATAATCTTTGTAAATGTAAATGGTTTAAATTAGACTTGCAACGAATAGTATATTCGGCAGTATACCGAATACCGAATATTCGGCGAGGCCCCTGACCGAATAGCCGAATATTAGGCAAAAGTATTCGGCTGGATTTTAGCGCCAAAAACTTGTACAGACGTGAATGAAATTATGTACCTGTTTTATGTACCAATGACTACTTAATAAATGATTATAAAAGAAATGAGAACCTTACCCTTCTAAATTTTGATTACCACAATAATTCAAATACATAGAATCCTCCATTTTTCCAATTCAGAAGATGATTATGTACCTGTGTTATGCACCAATGACTACTTAAATGATTATAACAGAAATGAAAATATGAATTTATACGTAATCAATCGATTTTAATTTTTCATTTTACCAATTATTTCTCAATGACAAAATATATTATTTAAGTATTCGGTATTCGGCCGAATAATATGTAGATATTCGGTAT